CATCCTTTTCTCAAAATAGGACAAACATGGTTAGGCCCCCTAGCTATTATCAACCTAGGCGTATGTTCAACCCAAACGTAGTATGCCATTATTGCAACATGGTAGGACATATAGCTCCTGTGTGTTTTACCAGACATAGGCACTTCACCTATAATGAAACACACAACATATTTGATGCTGCTAACGAAAAGAAATCCTTAGGAAAAGGATATTCATATAATAAACAATCTCCGCAGGAGAATGCACAAAAGAAACCTTACTATTTCTTCTATTTTGATGAAAAGAAGAAAGTCCACATTCCCTTACCGGAACCAACACAAATCACACCGAGATATCGGCACTCCGTTCAGGTAGACTGGAACCCGCCAACCACAAGACGACGGGTTGGCCAAGGTAATTCTTAAACGATCATCTAATCGTGTGTGTGCGCGCGCGTTAGGAAACGAATTTTGGGTGTGTGTGTGTGGGCAATAAAGGTTAACTAACCCCCAAGGACCCATAGACTACTTTGGGTACCAAAGTGTTGTTTTTTTTGCAGGTACGTATCAAAGTGAGGAACTCAGGGGGAACCAGCGATGGGTGGTTTATCCCATCGCTGGGAAGGAAGTATTTTCTAACCAGCAGCCCTCTTCCCATCGATGGGAGAGTCCACACATCGCTGGGAAGGCAGTCTGATTTTCTCCTTCGCTTTCCAGTAGCGACCTTCCCATCGATGGGTAGATCCTACCATCGCTGGGAAGGCGGTTGAAGTTAAAAATTTCAGAACCGTTGGAGACAGCATTTATGGCCCAACAGCTCTTTTTTTCAAAACTCAAACGGGATTTCCTCCTCTCCCTATATATTCACATCATCCCTTCCCTTCTTAACACACAATTAACATCATTATTTCATCTCTTTAGCCTATACCACTTATTTCATCAATCTTTCTTCAAAAACGCCTCAATCATGGTCGGAGGAAGATCAAAGTCAAAGGCTTTGAAGAAGAAAAGCACCGCCGAACCCTCAAGCTCCGCGCCTCCTCCGTTCCCATATTTGGACGGATCCTTATTGGAGTTCGGGTCGGAGGAGGAACTCAACCGGTTCCTCACGCTCTTTGCCAAGCGTCCCATTTCTCCGCCTAGGGTGCTGCCGGAGTTGTACCCTCAACAAAAGGGGTACCACGAGCGGATTGCGGCTCCATCGCCCTTCAACGAGGACTTGAAGGCGATTCATGCCATCATCCACGGCGCCTCCATCAATTGGGCGAAATTCGTGATGATCCACATGGCGGATTGCGCCTCCATCGCCACTGAGCGGAGCTTGCCATACGCCTTCCTCGTCATGGACCTCATCATCTCCGCCGACATCTCCATCGCCGGCCCGGATACGAAGATGACAAAGATT